TGTTCTTTAGAATATCAGAAGCACTCTCGGGAATGCAAAGTTTTTGCAGATTCCAAGAACCTATTCGAGAAATCACGGAAGTCATGCCCAGTTTTGACCATCCGGAGATACTTTCGAAAGATCGATAGGCAGCATTCAGCATATGCGTAGGTTCTCTTCCTTTCTGACTAGGCTTGTTCCTACTGACACATAGTTGATTTCAGGCAAGGATACAACAGTGTTGATGCTGCCACGGTTGTGAAGTTGTATTCTTCCCATCGATGTGTTCCAAGGAATGCCGCATTGAGAGTCGATGTCATCGCTCCACAGCCACGACAGTAAATATCATTCAACAATACAAGAAGTTGCGAATTTAGGTAGGTGGTTTTTCTCTCTCTCTCTCTCTCTTGTTGGTCAAGGATCAATGTGCCTTGCAATGATACATCTCAAGCAAGGTGATCGAACGTCCAAAGTCGAGCAAAATGCTGAGCCAACACCAGCCTATGTATCTAAGTGCATAAGATACCTAGCAACATACAGTAGGCACCATAGCAGCTTAAGGACATAGCTTTAAGTACTTAAGTATGCCCTAAACCCCTAACTAAGTACTTAGCTTAGGCCTTAAGCCCTGGGTCCGAAGCTCAGAGATCCCAAAAAAAAAAAAAACATTTTGCGACTTCGCTTGGATATATCTAGATTAAGCCAAATCTAAGGATTTTGCCTGTCTATGTATTGTGGCCTAACATTGATGTTAAGTGTGGCATCTTTAAGTCGAAGACTCAAATTTCGATTTTGCGGGGGAAGCTGTTACACATTCTTGACTTTACCCACTGTAGGCGGAGAAAAGAAATGTAAGGGTAAAAACTTTGTTTGACAGTTGAACTCAATATAGAGTTTAATATGAATATTGTTGATCAGCGGAGAAAGGAAGAAGAAACGGGATTAGGAAGGGAGGGGATGGGGTTGTACTACTAGGCATGAGCTGACAGATTGTCGATCATGTGGGAACTTGGAAGGAGACTCACCGGTTGAGTTTTTGGAGGAAGGAGACTCGGCGGCCCCGGTGCCCGACCCGGCCGAGCGCCCCCAGGGCCGCTTTGTGAGTCTCATCACGTTAGGTTTCGTGGCCCCGGGGCGCGGACCGTGAGCTCTCCAGAAGTCGCCGGGCAGAGTCGGCCGGGCGGGGCCGGGTCCGGGTCGCAGCCCTACTTTAGAGCCACCGTAAGAAAGCCCCGGAGTGCAGGCGCACTGAGCCGGGCGTGTCTTCATCGCCGGCAGTGCCATTGAGGTGGAAGAGTCGCGTTGCGCGTGGGACTTCCACGCGTGTGCTGTTCTGGTATGGCACCTGTCACGCCAATTTGATCAAGCTCTAGGGGTGGAATAGCTGCTAATTAGTTTGGATGACACAGCTTGCCCAGAAGGCAAGGCATGACGCCGACTTCACACGTCGAAGATTACAACATGGATAACACTGAAGCACTGCATTTCAGCAATTGGGTTTGAGACTAATCGAGAGCGAAGGGGCACGAGGTACAATGATATAATCTTCTCAAGCATGTGCATGGAAAGGGCAAGCCGTGAGATGGGTAAATAGAGAGGGAGACCCATAAGGCAAGACGAAAATGTCAAGGTCAAGGGTTGTTGCTCAATGGGTCACTAGTACTCTTATTAGACATGGAAGCATAGATTGAGATACAGCTCGTGAAATTGCATAAACCGTGAACATCCATGAAGAATGTCCAGGTGATCATGGAAGATTTTTGGATGGATGATGCATTACACAGC